TTTTTTTCGCAGAGGTGATCCTTATCAAATTCTATTGTTTTATTGCCTCAAAAACGAAAACACCTCTCGTGAAGACTCCATATATCAATCCTAGCGAAGAAATTTTAGGAATTTTGTGGTTGTTCTATGTGTTTGATAGATATGAGAGTTAAAATTAGTATTACTCTGATGTGTTCCGATCTAACACCAATGAAATACACCCGATGTTTTAGGGGGGGAGGGGGTTATAAGTCTAAGAAAAAATTGTAGATAAGTGCAAAAATCTTGAAAAGTTTTTGCCATAGTCTCTGGGATGAAGTTATATCCTTTTTTCATACCGCTGAAATGGGAATGACTTTTATTTTTAGGCTTTCACTGCCCATTTTGCTTCTTTCGAGGAGATATAGGGTTGAAAATACTGTAAAAATGCACTTTTTTTGCAGGACTGAACATTTACGTTACGTAGTTAGCAGCAGTGAAAGGATTGCAAATAATGTAGAAATAATTTATGGAATGAGCAATTTTTCACTACAGGTCACAAATGCAATTCCATTTTTTGGAGCTGCGCGTCCTCTAACAAGGGTCTTTTTCTTTATGGTGTGATTCATCGTTCTAAATTATCAGTTTGCCTAGTGAAGTACTAAAACAGGTTAATTAACGCTTTTGCATTGACAAATTATTTTCTCTTTACGAGCCATGCAAGTTTTTATAAGGTGATTTATTTGTTGTTGAGTTCTTAACAATTTGATTCGGAAGGAGTCAACAACATTTGTTACAACTTTAAAAAAATAGCTATGTCATGTTTAGATATCTCTTGAAATTGACAAATGAATAAAGAAGGGATAAGTTCAAAAACAAATGACACCTGAAGTTAAGCTGAACCAAATCTTCCGTCACTTTGGAATTTCAATTACCCATGCTATCATTTTTTAGGTTCTAGGTGCTTCCTTTTTGGCTTCTCTGATTGGATTCCATAAGTTCTAAGTTGATTTTGTATTTACTTTTCTCCGCATCCTTAAAAACCTGAAAACTTTTATTTTGCATTACGACAGAAATAAAAGTAGATTGCACTCTTTTCTCTGCTTCTGCTAATCTCAGCCGTGGTATTGTCATAAGTTTATGCTCAATTTTTCTAGCTCCTGCTAAGTTTACACAGCTCACCAAATCTTATTTTCACGAACTAGAACTTGTGCAAATGCAGAAAAATTCTTATGAGCTGTTTGGATTTTTTTGCGAAATGTGTATTCAGGTGACGGTATCGATGCATGAAAAAACGAGCGTTACTGGAGTGTTGGTAGCCATGAAAGGAGATGGGAGCCATTTTATTGTTGATCAACTTAAAACACCCATAGGAGTTATGGATAGTGCAGTAATCAGGTAAATTAATCTTTTGAATACTATTTCGCAAAGAAAATTAAATGTTGACATGAGCAATTACTAGAAAAAATATTTAGCGAGGGTAGGGTATGTTCTGCTTACAAATTTACCTTTTTTGTGACTCCAGCATAGTTCCTTCCCCTCTTTTACAAACTCATGGTTTGGATCCCCTCTCCTTTTTTTGGCAATATACTAG